AAAAAAAAAAATAAAAATATATAATAATAAATCTAATTTTATGAAAATCACGTCAACTACTTTTATATAGTTAATATTTTTCGTAACACAAAATAAATTTGTGATTATTACACAAAAGATCATTGACACTTTTATATTAGATCAATTTTTTTGTCTATTAATCACAATGGGTTTGGTTACCGTACACAAATAATACATACGCCATTCATTTTAAAAAATGAAATTTTTTGTTTTTTTAAAAAAACCCTTTTTTTTGAATAACGATAAACTTTAATAAAAAAAAATAAAAAAGTAAAAATGGAAATTTTAAATATTGATTGTCTTATTCTTATTTTTAATGAATTAAGTTCAGATAATAATTCATTATATTCATGCCTTTTAGTTAATAAAGAGTGGTGTCATTTGGTAATCCCTATCTTATGGGGAAATTATCCAAATTATACTATATGTATAAATTCAACAGAAAAATTCTTTAATATAATACTTTCTTGTTTATCAACCTCTTCAAAACAACTTTTGATTGATAATAATATTAGATTGTCTCAAACTATTCTTTCAAAATCGTCGTTTAATTATGTCAGTCTTTGTAAATTTCTAAAAATTGAAATTATAAATAATATTATTAATATGATTTTTAGAAAAGAAATTTTAACTAATGTTGATTATTCAAAAGAAAGAGATCTTTTAGAACAAGAAATTTATAAATTGTTTGTTAGTCAATGCGAAGGCATTAAAGAATTGGAATGGCAATCTTCTCAACCTATAGTATCATTTCCCGGTGCTTCAACAGGTTTCTCTCAATTATATAACCTAAATATTGATCTATTTTATGTAAATTCAAATAGTCTTTATGAAATGTCTCAAATTTGTAAAGATTTGAATGAGTTAACTATTAAAGGTTGTTCTCAAGATATTCCCGGATTAATTTCTTTAATTGATGCACAAAGAAACTTAAAAAGTGTATCATTTGATTTTCAGACTAAGGAAGGGACTTGTGAGGAACTAAGCAAGGCATTAGCAAGGAAAGGTTGTACAATTAATAATCTTTCTTTATATGGTTCTGTTGATATTATTCCCCTATCATTTTTAATGTCACTTAATAATTTAAAAGATTTGATAATTTATTATGATTTTGAAAGTTATGGGAGGATTTTAAAATTTCAAAAATATTTGGCAAATTCAAAATTTCCGGATCTTCAGATTCTTGATATTAGTGATGATTTATTATGTTTTAAGGAATTATCAATGTTAATTGAAAATACCAATGGAAATATTACGGATATCTTTGTTTATACTTCTAATAAATCTGCTGAAAATACGGGAATGTTTATTAATTCAATTTCTAATAATTGTCCAAAGATTGAATTTTTAACTACATACCTTGGTCCTAAAGATTTAATTCATATAAAATCATTATTAAAGAATTGTAGAAATCTAAAAAGTTTACGTTTTAATAGTTTGAATGAAATTAAAAATATTGGTGATGGTTTATTAAATATTTTAGCTAAATTTTCTCCAAAATCTTTATCTAATATATCAATTAGTGGGAAATGGAAATATTCTGTTGGTTCTTTTGAAAATCTTTTTGAAAGTTATAAAAAAAGAAGATTACTTCATTTTGATATTCATGATGAAATTGTGTATATTACAACAGAACATGCAAAAGTTGTTAAGAAATATTACGATGAGGGTGTAATAGCATATTCAAATCTTATTATAACTGGTACTAGTGAGTACTAGCTAATTTTATGTATTTTTAGGTATTATTGGATAAAGTATGGGTTTATTTTATAGCAGAGCAAATAAATTTTTATTAAGTACTGTAAGAAACTTCTTTTTTAACTGTATAACAAACATATTTTATTTTTGATTTATATTTACTTCAAATTTCACGTAAATTAAACTGTAACTTAAAATTTCACGTAAAATAAGCTGTAAATTTAATATTTTCACGTTCAAATTCATCGGATTTTTTGCGGACATCCAATTTGAACCTTCTTGCTACGTCTGCTGGCGTGTTTATAGCGAGATAAATCAGTTTATGCTAGGATTGAAAGGGCTGATATTTTGAGCATACCGTAACATATTTTTATTGGTATCGTCGAATGCGTTCAGTTTTTTTTTTTGAATTAAAATATGTAAACTATAGAAAAATGACAATAGTTAAATCTCGACCATCATGACTCAAGCGTTTAAATGATTTAAATGATCGTTACATAAAAAGCCTTGTCTTTTATGGATAATTCAGGCCAAATTTTTGTTACCTTTTTAGATATTGACTGACATTATCCTAATTCCCGGCCCTATAGAATGCGTAATGCGTACAACGACAAGCGTCTTTGCGTGCGTTCAACGTCGGCATAAGTTCGAGTATTATGCGTTTTCAAAGTGTGATGTCAGATGCCTTATATGCTTGAGCGGTTAAACCTGACTAGCGATATTTTTTTTTCGTTCTGTTGAGGAACTCTACGTACTGTTATCGCGCCTTTCAGAATTATGTCACTCTTCTATAATTCGTCCGGAATATGTGATTGGTCACAATTCCGAAATGAATTTATTACAAAGAAAAGTAAGTCATAACAATAACTTTCCGTATGTAATAATAATAATTTGTTTAGCATGATGGGTACAGAATTCTGAAAAGCGCATAAATTCAAATGTTAATTGGTATCAGGTGATCAACTGGTTCATTTGATGCTCAGATCGAAATCTGAAAAAAAAAAACTGTAAATCGAAATTCTTTACATGAACCATTTTATTTTACTATTCTTTTATATTATATATATATAAGAATTTATTCGTAATTTTAAATTATTATTACTAATTTTCAATTATAACCGATTGAAAGAAATATGTGTATATGTTATATTTTAAATTATATTTTACGAAAAAATATTAAACTTTACTTCTTTAAATTAGAAATAGGAATGTTTTTTTAAAAAGATTTCAAAAAATTATCCTATTTTTTTTTTTATTAAAATTATCTAAATTTATTTATCTTCTATTCCTCCTTGATCATTGCTTTCTACAATAATAATAATTCTATTCATTTTACCAAGCGTTCGTTGGCCAAAATGAAAAAAAATTACTCTAAAAAATGAATATGATTTGGATAAACCTTCTGATAACAGTTCGCTAGGGCTATTTAAAAAAAAATTGAGAAACGCGCATTCCCGTTATAATATACCGAGTTAATTCTGGTCAAGTACCTGGTATATTTAAATTTGGTAAAATTGCGAAGTATTTTAATTTTTAGGTGAGGTCGAAATGTAGAACAATATGCTTACGGAATTGAGGACAATTAGGGTAATTTCAATGATCTTTTTTTTTTTAGGTGATTTGCTCGGTATAATTATTTCAAATTAACAACCAGCTATCTATAATTATTTACTGTAATATAGTCGGTATATCACAACTACAAGAATGAAATAGAAATAGTTGAAAGAGTCTGCAGATAAAAGAACAAAAGAACAGAGAAAAAAATAATTCCAAGAATCGGATCTTTGCAATAACCCGATATAAAAATTATTTAATTTTTCTTATTTTTTTTAATTTAATAAAACTGTATTTATCGTATATTCACGTAGTCAATTACTGGTTCATTCACGTCCAAAACCTAACCTTTATACTTTTATATTCTGCAAAAAAATAAAAATAAAAAATAAAAAATGTCGTTTTTGATGCATATATCATCACGTGTTTGTTATAATACCCGTTAAATTATTACGCACCGGAATAGCGGAGAGGACAATTAAAAGTAAAAAATTAATCTTTGCGTCAACAACATTCTTCTAATTCATCTTCAATGGAGATACAATAAAACATTTATTGGTTCTGCCTATTTTCACTTTTAATTAAAGTAAGAATAGATGAAATTTAACATACAAATATTAAAAAATTTTTAATTGTTATGATGTATTAAAATCTTTATTATTGAAATTTTTATCATCTCTAATCATTCCACCTTTTACTTGAAAAAAAAAAGTAAAATAATAAAGAAATAAAAATAATTTAATATATATATTTCAGAACTTTTATTAATATTTTTCCTCTTTCCTCCCACTTTTTTACAATATATAATAGTTTAATAATAAATACTAAAATACTGGAATATATTTAAGATAAAAACACAATATTACTACCTTCAAACGCCCACCAAAGATTATATCAATTCTCAATCGTATGCTAACCAGTAACCACTAATCTAACTCTTTTCTTACAGTACTTCCTAATTCATTTTTCACAACTTGGAATTTTTCAATAAATCCTTTTCTAAAAATTTCTTCATATCCCATATTACATGTTGATAACTCACTCTTTAAGGGGTGGGGGTATTTGAAGGTCATATAACATAAAAGTGTAACGTAAGATTTTTACATACTACATGGGGGTGGGTATGGGCTTATAATAAATGGATATTACGTAATAAATGTCACTTCCCTTACTGTAATTTCTTTTCTTTAGCATATTCCAATAGTTTCCTTAAATTATATGTAAATATTATATAAATAAGTAATAATAGAATTAAATAAATAACTTACTCCCTATATTATTAAATAATTTTTAAATAAAGAATAAATTATATGAAGGCGGAACCCAAATAATAGTATTGGCTATGGTTTTACCGCTTTTCTAAATGATGGCGGGAACTCCTACATGTGAAAAGGGTTCATTAATTCGCGCACATGATGATAATTATAATAAATTAATACTGATATTACTGATAAATTATTGTAAAAAGACAGAATATTAACCTAAATCCGTATCATTAGCGTCATGTAACAAAGGTTCTGCCATTATACAGCGCGGGATGACTCCATATTACCAAAAATTCATGTACATCAAGAATGACTGGATCACTATAGTATATTAAGTTACAATGTAAAAATTTGTTAATTAAATATTTATAAATAGAGAACGATTTATCTAAATAATCAAATCACCTTAGGTACGAAAGAATCATATACACAGTAAAATTCGATATACCGGAACCTTGATATAACGGAACATAAGTAAAGTCTTGATGTACCAGAATTGGGTCTGGAACGGATTATCATATTCTATAATTAATTTACCCTCGATATAACGGATTCTTTGACAAATTTTACGGATGGTAATTCGCTGCGTAGGTCCTTCTTCCTACAAAATTTAGTAATAAAATGCACAATATAGGCTCAATATTTCTCCTAAATATAACAATATAAAGGTACCAATATTAAGTGGAATGTAGAAAAAAATAATAATTAGAAATGAATGAATAAATACCGAATATCCAAATAAGCGAAATCAGATTTATCCCTAAGAGTTAAATCTTTTAATTTTTCATAGCCTCCCGACTTCTAATTTTTTTTCATTTTGATTCTTTTTATTTTGCTAAAATGAATTTCTTGATCAAGAGTAAGTTGCGACGAGTTAGTAAACCTTATCTGGAACTTTCGTTATTATTATCTTGAATGATGTCTTATTTTTAAAAATATAAATAAAATTTTGAAACATACATATCTGTAACAGAAGAGCAAGTAAGGAATGCTGAATATACTTCGATAAACTCGTACTTCATGTTTATAAGAAAAGTCAAAGGATAAACATATAAAGTTAATTGAAAACCACGATCATTATAAAATACGAACTCAAAGGATTAATAACTTAAAATATATATTATCAAACCTGGTAATATAAAGAAGCGTTGCGTAAACTTCTTGACAAATTGGAGATTCGCGTTGCAACAACTCCTATCGACGTATCTCATGAGGCCACCAAAAGCATCTATTCGTATACTTATCTCGTCTCCTCAACTTATCCATATTCTGCTGATTTTTTGGTAGTTCAAGAGCAAAATTATCGAATTATAAATTTGGATCCGTCATTCATATCCAATGTTGGTTTAGAAAAGGGGGGAAGGTCCCACTCCCACTTTCTAATTCAGCATTTCAAAGTACTAGATCCCTAATAATATAGATAATTTAAAAAATTTGTGCAAATTTTTTATAAGCAAAATTCTGACTCGAAATATAATCAGGCTAAAATACAACATTGTCGTAAAAATAATATCAATATATACAAATCTTTAAGAAAAAATTGTGTAAATACCTCGTTTGATCCTCATCATTGATACCCTATAAAATCTTATCTTCTCAAATATCCATTACAAGAGAATAATACGTCCATTCTTGCAAAAGATTACTGAACTAATAATTGCATTTCTTCTCGAGTTCTATAATCGGTTAGGGGCTTCTTTTAGAATATCTTTAGGTTTCATTAGTGATATCCGTCTTTTGCAGCAAGTCATCTATCTTGATTTTCTTGAATTCTTTGATAGTAAACTAGGAGCGAGCGAGGGATTCTCTTTCCTCAGTGTACTGGCGGATAACCCGCTTAATGTCACTCAAGCTACCATGACCTCTGTGCAGAGAAATATAGTTGACGTTCTCTCAGATAATCTTAGGGATTCCAAAGAACCGCTGGCTCACGTAGATGCATGAAACATTTCGGTGCCGCCCAGTATTTATATCTTTGATTATATATTATCATGTCTTAGTCAATTATTTGTCTAATTAGAGCTTTTTCATTTGCTTCATGTCAATTAAATTCTACGCCGATGACCATTGATTTGGTTCTTAAAATAATAAAGAACCACCTATAAAATAAATAAAAAAAATCAATTAAATAAATAAAAAAAATTTAACAAAACGCACACATATTTTGGTCACTATATTACATAATAACGCAACGGACTCATTTTTAAATAATAAAGAACCACCTATAAAATAAATAAATAAAAATTAATTAAATAAATAAAAAAATTTAACAAAACGCACACATATTTTGGTCGCTATATTACATAATAACGCAACGGATTCATTCTTAAAAAATAAAGAACCACCTATAAAATAAATAAAAAAAAATAATTAATTAAATAAAAAAAATTTAAAAAAACGCACATGGCACATATATTTGTCACTATATTACATAATAAAGTACCGGTAATCTCTTTTACCAAGAAAGTTTCAATACGTCTGTAATTTTGCATTGCTGAGGTTGATCTTGTGATCTATACTTAAAATTAAAATAAAAAATCAGAACTAATATTCATCCAGTAACTCGGTGAATTAGCTTAAAATTAAATCTCGGGAAGCTTGAAGACAGCGATAATTTGATGATGGCTTCTTAATCTTAGATGAAAATTTCAAATACCGCTGATGACAACTACTGTACCTACTTACAGTGAAATAAATTATAAAATAAAATTCTTTCACATTAACTTGCTTTTGTTAAAAGCAAGATCCTGTTGCGCGATCGCGATCACCCAACTCTTTCTAGTACAATTCCATATCTGAACAAATTTTTTTTTAAATTATCTTCCATTAATCGTAAAAAATACGATTGAAAAAAAATGTCCATATTATAATTTAATATATACCTTCAAACGCGTCCATGATTTATAGATATAGATAGAATATTATATTTGCACGTTCTGTAAGTTTCGGAAATTTGTTTGAACTTAAATGTGAACTGATACGATAATTAAAATCTGAATCATCTTGTCTGTTGACACGCAAACTGCAATTAATTATGTTCATTTGTGGAAAGTGAAAATTTGGTATCTTATAATTACAATAAAATATGATATCAGAATATACCTACATGCTTCTGATACTTTACGAAAAATCGGACCTTCACCATCATAACCATTCCGTCTATCAGATACTTCAATGTATCCGCCTGGTTTCGTTACTCTGCAGTGTGTTCCTACTAACTACCAAGGTGGAAACGGTAACTGTTGACTTAACGAGTTAATAAACTTTTATTACCGCCGAAAAACAAATATTGAATTTCAATGATCAAAATAATAAAATTTCCAGTTTTCTACATTTGTGATTCCGTTCTTCTCCCCCTTCAGATCTTGATTCTTGGGTTCCATTGTTTAAAAAGATTATAAACGTATAATCATAAAATATTTTCATGAAAATCAACATTCTGATACAATATTAACTAGAATTTTTCTAACCGGGGATGATCACCGGTGACTGAAATTATGACGATCGACCAGCATTAAAAAAATATAGTGCCGGTAAAAATTGATAATCCTGGCCAACGGTGATTTGAAGTAAAAAAAAAATTATAATTCAGTATTTTATATTTATATTTTAATTAACAAATCATAAAAATTTAAAAAATTTACCTCTGACTTCTCTTTACGTTATCTTTATGGTTACGCTCCGTACAATATGATCTAAAATAGGTTAATGTCTCACACAATACTTTCTAAAGAAATAAATGGTTGTCTTAGTTAAAGAACAAAAAAAAAGTTTGAACAAACGACATACCTGCGCTCAAACTTTAGGTCGATGAATAATTACGTTGTTGTTGTATTTGTTACGTCGTTATTTTCTGGGGACTCCTCTTTAAAATTGAAATTAGCGCTTGTAGTTCCTTCAAACTTCAAATTTTTAATAAAAACAATTGTCTAAAAAAACGAAGTTCAAACTCTAAGTTCTAACTCACAGTGAGCACCCCTTGAATTTGTTAATCAGTTAGTTGCACAACATACTATTAAAGTGTCTCGCAAAACATAACCTTAACCTTATTTAGAGTTTATGGTGCACTGATAGACACCATATTTGTTAAATGTATTATAAATTTTTTTCCATCATAGTATATTCATACGTCGCAGTTTGATGGTTTTCTTTAACCTTTTTCTTTTTTAGGACCCGATTGATAATCTATTTAACGGGATATCTCTAAAAGGTTATTACTTCATTACTTCATGAGGCATTCCCAAAATTTACTTTTAAAATGATTTACCTCACGTGACTAATTCTTTTTGCTGATTGCTGATTCTATAGACCTCTATAGACTCTATCATAATTAACCGAAAAATTTTCAAATCTTCTATTGGATTTATCGCTTGAACAATATCCACATTATAGATCTGCGTTTTAGTAGCACAAGAAAGGATGGATCGAAAATTTCGATCTTTCTTATTGAATTATTTAAAATAAGAATCATATTTTACGTTTAATATTATTCAACATGGTTCAAACAGAATAATGCATGCATGCGTAGTGAATTATGAACTTGAATAAAGTATAAAATAACCAGCTTGTAATGAATTTTTTTCAGCAAAAAAACGCTCGAAAAACTATGAGAGTGAAACTTCAAGAAATTATCAAACAAAATCAAATAATTTAAGGAATCCAATAATCCAATTACATATGTCGCTAAACCACCTACTGTTGAAGTCACTGAAAAATCTGTCGAAAAAGGGAGCGGTTGTACTATCAACCGATTTTTATTATTCGCTTTTTATATGATATTTTTTTTTAAAATTAAACTAAATTTGACTTAGTCAGTAAATCTTCACCTGCTAAATTACATTCATTCATATAATTGGTTGAATGAACGCATAATGTGGTGCAGAATTTTCACTCTCGATAAAATCCGATGTTATCGTTATTGATGATCGTTTTCAAATTTCAGTTGATGACACATAATCTGTGTAAGATTCCGTAATTATTAAAATATCAGCTAAAATTTTGTAAGTATTTGATGTAAAAAGTTGGAATTTTAATACCAGAAATTTTTGATAGCAGAGAATTTAGCCTAGCTCGATTTTAAGCTTGAATTCTATATAGGATTCATGATATAGTTCCTGGACTTCACAACTTATTTTGGTTCTCAATATAGATTCCATAAATTTCGTATATCGGGAAAGAGGCCGGGAGCCTCCCATTATTTTTATACCCTATTCGGAATTTTGTCCTAGAACTCCCAAAGTTGTCTATATAAAGTTAAAATCACGGATGAAAATGAAGAAATCAAATACATTTTTCTTATTTAAAAAAGTAATATTATTTTAGTTAACTCTTGTTTAATATTTGTACAACAATATAACTAAAGAAAGTCCTGTATATGAGATTATGAAGATTTATGGCTAGATTTTACTCGAGTGATTAATTTCAACTCTTTATTAATAAAACAAATGATTTAAATTGTTTTGTGATTTTATTTTTTCGTTATAATAAATAAATTAGACAATCAGATAATTTATATTTACTGTAATAGACTTGTATTCAAAAGTTGAAAAAATTGAAAAAGATTCAAACTTGTTTTTGTAAAAAGTTCTTGTGGCAGATATTTATATGAAATGAGTTCCTTTAACTCAATTTAAATCACAATTGTAATTATAGATATTATGTTTTTCTTAACACACTGTATGTAGCAAGTTCACAAAATTTAAAATGGAAGAATATCGAACAATTTCTCGGTTTATATTTATAATTTGATAATTTAATATATTAGTGTTATTTATTAATTATATTGTAATTTATTAAATTATTACGTAATAGTACAAAAAATAAAACGAAAAATAAAATAAAATTTTCGTTCTCAGAGTAATAATTAAAAATATTAAGTATACAGGAGTACACAAAGTAGTATGTACAAAAGGGTGTATTTCGTTACAATAAATTAATGAATGTTTTGCCCACTAAAAATATTCTTAAAAATTAAATCGTTTGCAGCATAACGACTTTATCGCTACGCTACAAATTTAGATTTAATCGACATAATTCATAATTACTGTGACTTTATCGCTATGCTACAAATTTAGATTTAATCGACTTAAAATAAAAGCTTAAGGAAAATAAATATACAACCTTAAAAAATTAAATCGTTCGCAGCATAACGACTTTGTCGCTACGCTACAAATTTAGATTTAATATACTTAGAGAAATCTTTATTATTTATCTAAATTTTTTTAAATTTTCGTTATAAGCTAAAAAATATTATGCTATTGCATAGGCGTGCTGTATTTCAATAATTTATGTTAAACGAGAAATTGAAATAACGAAAGGGTAAAAGTCTCAAATTTGATTTGTATACTAAATTCAAACCATTTTGGTAAAGTGTAACAAACGTAATTTTGTACACTAAAATATTCTTGTCTCTACGCTACAAATTTAGATTTAGTCGATAGAAGTAGGAATAACAATATATCTTTAGCTTAGAAAATTTTTATATGATAATATATAATATTATGTTATTGCACAGGCGTGCTTAATGTTGGTATGATGCGGCAATCATGACATGAATAACCGATTCATATCATGACCATTCATTGTTAAATGTTAACAAAAACTTTTGATAAAAATTAAAAACAAGAGTTTTGTAGTTAAGATTGAAGTTTTTTTTAGCGTTTTATAATTTATTTATGTCACACCAAGAATTAATTTATAATTTCTTCATAGAATTTACCACGTCGCACGAAGAAATTTTTTATTATAGAATTCCAGTGTGGAATAATTTCGGTCCTAAAAGACCGTGGTCCTACGGTTCGGTGTAGGACTGGTCCTGTCACTCATGTATCACTCTTTTTAAGAACTTTTTTTTGCAAATAAAAAATTTTTTTAGCTTTAAATTTAATATAAAAATTCATTTATTATATGAAGACCGGTATGAGGACTGGTCAGTCTTCGACAAAAAATGCAAGACCGCGGTCCGGTCCTACAAGTCCTGGGACCGGTCGATATATATATATATATTTTATCAACAAACTACTTTAAATAATACATTTATTCCGCGTCATTTCTATCTTCTAGGAATCTAAAATTGTGTATTGTACTCCCAACAATCAAATTCTTTTAATTTCCATGACCTTCCAAAATAATTAATAACTCCTCAACTTTATTCACGGCCGGAAATAACCGGAGAAGATAAATAATAAGAAGATATGCAAAATATATGCAGGTATTGGATTATTAGAATTTTCATTCTTTTAATACGTTCATGATTGATTAGATATCAAAGTACAAAGGTTAAATTTACGATTAATTTATTACTAAAAGTGAAAAAGAAGGAAAAATAAGCTTAATCATACAAAGATTACCAAATAAAAAATTTTTTATGTCCAAAAAATTTTTTTGGATTCCGGAAAAAAAAGATGCTTATCAATATATGGTAATATGAATTTTTTATTAATTTTAAATAGATAAAATTATTAATTTAATAGTAATATATTATTCCGAAATTTTATATTTTTTGATTTGTTTGTTTTAAAATTGGGATTAAATTTTTTTTTATTTTAATAAAGAATATTAAATTTAGAACAATCAGGAAAATTGCATGGTTACCACAAATCGTACAATAGAATGTCCTTCGCTAACGCTTCGGACAATTATTATCGATAACGAAAATACTAATAATTTCTTTGTTTCCGTATAAATGCCGGTAAAAAATCTTTAAACTTAAATTGTGATATCAATGTATGAAATATTGTACCTTACTTTTTATTAATTAACAAAAACTTG